ATTATTATTATTATTATTATTATTATTATTATTATTATTATTATTATTATTATTATTATTATTATTATCATCATGGCTTTGGTTTAAATCATTTTTGATTATGCAAATTAATGTTGATCGATATCATTACTTCAATGTTCATGAATGCTACTTCTACTACTACCACTACTTTAATTTTTTATTATTATTATTATCATTATTATTATTATTATTATTATTATTATTTTGATTATTTAAATAAAGGTTGATAAATATCATGACTTTAAATTATATTTTTTTCTTTATTGTTATTATTATTTTTAATTCAATGTCGATGAGTAATGCTACTCGACTATCTAATTTTAAAACACAGTAACTGCAAAATTTTTATAACTGATTTTTTTAGTATTGCTTTATTCAGTAACTGCAAAATTTTTATAACTGATTTTTAGTATTGCTTTATGTCTTATAACTTTTAGATCTTAATTTCAAGTATTTTTTTTCTCAAAAATATTTTTTTATATTCAAGTATTTTCTATTCGTAAAACAAATTTTTTTTTTTTTTTTTTTTTATTTTTTTTTTAATCAATTAAGCACACAAATTTTTTCTTTCATAAGAAAATCTTAAAATTGTCAGTAACTGTGTTTTGAAATTGGGTAGTCATATACTACTACTACTACTACTACTACTACTACTACTACTACTACTACTACTACTACTACTACTTTAACTATTATCATGATGATAACTTTAATTTATATTATTATTATTATTATTAATATTATGATTATTATTAAGCTAATGAAAGTAAGTATTATAATAATTATTTATTTATTTATTTATTTTTTTTTTTTGATAACGTCTTATAAATTGATGAACACCGTCAACGTTCATAAAAAAGTGTCACGTTCCACCTGAGTCTGTGCATGCAAGCGAGAGCATGCAACAAGCGAAAGAGAGGCACGATCAGGCGGATGATAGAAAGACCCAAGCTTGTGACACATATATCTCTCTCTTCTCGTGTGACATTAGAGCTAGCAGTTAGAATACTATTCTATTCTATAACTAATTGCTCATGATTATATTTTAACAAATTAAAAATTAATGTTTTTAACTAGTTTTAAAAGAAAAAAAAATTAAAACAGATTGATAAAGTTGAGTAAGGATGAA